CTCTGCAGTTACCCTTATGCCAGAAGAGGCGTATCGAAAGATTCTACCTCGAGGAGTGCTAAAACGGTGTGAGCTCAGCTTGCGTACGTACACCGAGGAAAAAGTTAACGTTGTCGGTGTATCCGACGCCGAGGTAGCTAGCGGTCATGGGAAACATGTGCTGCCTTTAGTGGTGGTAAGAAACGGCAGTGTGCGGCTACCAACGCTGCTTGGTAGAAACTGGCTGCAGCAAGTAAAGCTGGACTGGAGGTCAGTTTTCGCAGTTACAGCAAAATAGAAATCTCTTGAAACATTGAAAGTGTTGTTTCCGTCGGTGTTTAAGAAAGAATCCGGAGCAATAACAGGATTCACGGCAAGCCTTGTTTTCAAGGATAATGCTCAGCCAGTGTTCTGCAAGCATCGTACCGTTCCCTTTGCGTTTAGGGACGCTGTTGATTGCGAGTTGAGGAGAATGATTGACGATGGTATCTTGTCTCCTGTGAAGACGAGTGACTGGGCAACTCCGCTAGTCATTGTTCCGAAGCCCGGCGGAAAGATTCGTATCTGTGGCGATTACAGTGTCTCAGTAAATCCGATCTTGCGCATGGAACACTACCCCTTGCCAATGGTGGACGAGTTGTTCGCAACGTTCACGGAGTGCCGCGTGTTCACGGTTCTTGACCTGCGCGCTGCGTATTTGCAACTGAAACTTGATAGCAACGCAAGGAAAGCGCTGACAGTAAACACTCACCTCGGTCTTTTCGAGTTTTCGCGGTTGCCGTACGGCGTCTCGAGCGCTCCCGCTATTTTTCAGGCTACCATGGATAAGATTTTGCTTGGGTTGCCGAAGGTTGCATGTTACATTGACGACCTGTTGATTGGAGGCAGGAACCATGATGAATGTTTCGACAATGTGAAACGCGTGTTGGAACGACTTGCGAAGCATTGTGTTAGCTTGAACCTGGAAAAGAGCAAGTTTTTTGTGGGCGAAGTGAAGTACCTTGGGTATATGCTTGAAAACACGGGCTCCGGCCTTGCCCCGACAAGGTGGAAGCGGTCAAAAGCGCTCCGCCTCCTACAAATGTACATGAGCTCCGCAGTTTTCTAGGAATGTTAAACTTCTACGCCAAGTTTCTGCCAGACTTGGCAGCATTGCTGCGGCCTCTGTACGACTTGCTAGAAAAAGGGGCTGAATGGTTGTGGTCAAAAGAATGTGATGAGTGTGTGAGGAAAGCTAAAGAGCTTCTATGTAGTGCTGATGTCTTGACCTTGTACTGTCCAAGTAAGCCTGTTAGGTTGACCTGCGATGCTTCTAATTATGGTGTAGGGGCAGTTTTGGCTCATGAAGTGAGCAAGGGAGTTTACAGACCGGTTGAGTACGCTTCAAGGACATTGACGACGGCCGAACAAAACTACTCGCAAGTAGAAAAGGAAGCGCTTGCCATCGTATTCGCTGTCAAGAAGTTTCATAAGTACCTTTTCGGTAGAAGATTCACATTAATCACTGACCACTACCCTCTCACCACACTTTTGAAGCAAGGCCAGAAGTCAACCGGCATGGCAGCTGCACGTATTCAGAGATGGCGACTTCTGTTAGCTGAGTACGACTTTGTGATCGTTTTCGCGAAAGGTACTAGCATTAGTCACGCCGACGCCCTTTCAAGGCTCCCCCTTCCCGCGAAAACAGAAGACTGTGACCAGGTTAACTACTTTTCGCCGCTCGATCATGTTCCGATCACAAGCTGGACAGTTCAGGAGGAGACTAAAAAGGATCCCCTACTACCTCGGATCATCGAACTCACGAAACGAGGATGGCCTAAGAAAGTAGACGATCCGGACTTAATTCCCTTTTTCCAAAGAAGAGAAGCGTTGTCTACCGACCAGGATTGCTTGGTATGGAGCACGAGAGTGGTCATCCCAAAAGCATTGCATGACGTCATCATCCGTCTCCTACACGAAGGTCACCCAGGAGCATCTAAAATGAAGATGCTGGCGAGACAGCATGTCTGGTGGAATGGATTAGACGCTGCCATTGAGAATCTGGTGCGAAAATGCGACGTCTGTCAAGCAACGCAGAACAACTCCCCCCGTGCTCCGGTCCAACATTGGCCGTTGGCAACTAGGATCTTCGAACGCGTGCACTTAGATTTCGCGCAGAAAGATCAATCGAACATACTGATCCTAGTTGATGACCACTCAAAATGGCTGGAAGCCATTCTAATGTCGTCTACGACCTCTTGGCACACCATTGAAAAGCTGCAGATGATATTCTCGCAATTCGGGTTGCCAGAGGAAGTGGTCACAGATAATGGACCACAGCTGGTGTCTGAAGAGTTCAGATCCTTCATGCGTGAAAATGGAATCTTGCACACGACAACTCCTCCTTACCACCCGGCATCCAATGGACTTGCCGAACGCGCAGTTCAGACGGTGAAGAAGTCCCTTCTGAAACAGGTGCTGGAGGACAGGGAGCGGGGTGGAAAGAGGAGCATGCAGCTGAAGCTGTCAAATTTTTTGTTCCAGTACAGAACAACTCCCCACGTGGTAACTGGGAAGACGCCGGCAGAGCTCTTTCTTGGGCGCTTGCCACGGACACGTCTTGCCTTGTTGAAACTCGGTTCTGCTTCTTTTCGGCGAGAAAAACAAAATGAAGCCAAGAAGACCGTTGACACCCAACAGGCAGTGCCGAGGGAGTTCAATGTCGGAGACAATGTGTGGGTGCGAAACGTGAGAGGGGAGGAAACGGGATGGGCAAGAGGAAAGGTGACGAAGAAAATTAGTGCTCTTACATACTTGGTGCGAGTCTTTAGTAGGATTCGTTTTGTACACTGTGATCACCTGAGGCCAAGATCCCGAAATGGATTTGATACTGAACGGAGCTCGCCGGTGGACCACGGTGAGCCGACAGCATCCACGGATTCAGATGACTCGGACTCGGAGCCTGAGAACCACTTCAATAGTCATGACGATGACGAACCTGGTGTGCCCGCTCCTTCTGTAAGGCACAGCACGCGAATAAGTAGGCAACCCGACAGGCTTACTTATTATCTGGTTGGCAGACCAAGTTGAAGTGTTGCTGTTGTACTGCGTAACGTGTGTTTTGGATTAGTGTAGGGAAATGTAGTAACTGAATGATTTACCTCCGCTAGGAGGGCGTCGCGTGTTTTGGTCTTTTTCTTTTTTGTCTCACAAATAAACGCCCGAGACAGTTGGAACGCGGGTGCGATCGAAGCCGGGTGTCTGTTGTCTGGATCTCGGTCGACGACCACCGAGGCGAAGTTATAACAGGGAAACGAGAGCCAAATGAGTGACCGCATTGTGTCCCCCTCGGTTTTCTCTTTTTCTGTGGCGCCATCTATGTGGAGCACCGCGAACTCTCACTCCGGGTGGGCGACCGATGGCGACCGGCTAAACTGACGGAGATGGTTTCTCGTGGATTTTTAATGAAAGACTGTCGTGCTCTCGGTTTATTTTGCGCACTCTCCCATGGAGTTCCACGCAAATCCGATTAGAATTTTTTTCCTCTCGCCTCAGCGCCATCTGTCGCAAGTCGGGGGTACCCGCAAGAAGACGAGTACACAATCCGACCACGGCGCTGCGGTAGGCTTCTATGGGCCGTTTCCCCACCTGTCTATCTTACACCCTGCTCCGAGGGCGTCCAAGGCGCGCTTCGCGCACCCGCACCCCACCCGCCATCTGTCGGCGCTTGCAGAAGGTGTTTCCTAGCCAATCTCCACTGTCAGTACGGCTGTGGCGCCATCCCGTGGCGACGTTGCCAACTTTGGCTAGTCCAAACCAGTCCAAGGTCAGCCCATGTACCTGGGCAGTAATGCGAACTCATTAAAGGGAAGCTGAAAATGTTCCCGAAAAAAACGAGTTAGAGGAGAATTCTAGAGTACTTTTATCCCGTGAATTCGAATAGCTCGTTTTCCCCGAAGATGATACTAAACAAAAGAAAATACGAAAAATCTCTGACTTGTCGTTACGTCATAAATGATCTTTCGGCTTCCAGGGGTTAATCGCTCGTGTAGGCAACGAGTGGAATTGCAAGCTTGCCATTTATATTCCCCCCCCCCCCCCCAGTGATACCAGTCGGGACGTCTTTTTTCGACTTTTCTGAAAATAACGAGAGTGTGCGTGCATAGCTTTGATAGGCGCTGAAGATGTGCGAGAGCGAAGATTCCGAAAACTCCTTGTATGACGTAACGCTCCGGGAAGGAGCGTTACGTCATGCGTTACGTCATTTCAGAGTACCAGCGGTACTTTGAAACTATTTTGTGCAGCCACCGTGCATGAAGTTGGAAAAAAAAGAACTCAATATTCTTGATCCTGGCGGCCAAATAAAAATGTTTTTAGTGATATACAAAACCGCTTCAGTTTTTTTTTTTTTTTTTTTTTTTTTTTTTTTTTTACAGCCCTAGTTTAGGTGCGCAGGCAGATTACTGAACGTGAAGCTGCGGGACATAGTTCCATTTGGGGAATCTCTGTCTGTCCTCAACCTGCTGTCCTTGAGGAGCTCCCTCTCTTCGCAGGACGCCGTGCTCCTCTGTCGCGGACGCCTAGAAAACCTGACGGGCTTCTCGTAAATCGGGCACGCCTTCGGACCGGGTTTAACCGTGATTAACCTTGTCTTTATTTGTGAGGTTCCCACTGAATGAAGAAATAACGTTTGCGTCTTAAAAATAAAAGGCACGGCAAAAAAAAAAAAGAATAGTAAATTTTTATTTTGTTTGGGTTTAATTTTAAACTTGCATTCTACCCACACCAGACTTCCACAAAAATGTAAGGCAGGCGGTCGAAGAAAAAAGTTAAAAAATGTCGAGGAGAAAACGAGAGGTGATTCAATGCCTTTATTTTGTGGGAGCGTTGCCGAGAAGGAAAGTGAAGGTCGGGTTCCTTTTCCCTGCTCGAGGCCAGGTCTTTATAATCACCTATTAAATTGTTTTGTTTTGTTTGTTTCCTTTTCATTGGGCAAAGCTTCATTTCAATTTTGATTTGTGACATTATAGCCCCATGTACAGCGGCGACATTTTACTTGGAGTCCTAGAAACTGCCAGATCGGATGCAATGGCCAGATGGTGCGGTTGCCAGATTCAGTTTGCCCCCAAGGTGGCTTTGGGGTAAGTCACGAGAAAATGTTCTCGCTGCCTTCGCACTCTTTTTTTTTTGCGAATATTAACGACAGTTGCCCTCTTTTATAGATTTTTTAAGATTTTATTTATCATTGAGTTTTGCTTTACAAAAAGCCGGCCATAATTCTGCTGTTAGCTTATTGGCTTTCTGTTTACTATCTGCAGAGCCAGTTCGCGAACCATTTTTTACATTTGCAACACCATGCGCCATTTCATCGAATCCCCTGGGAAAGACGTAGTCAGTCACCTTTGTTATATATATATTCATATAATGAGGTGTTTTCCTAAATCCAGTGCACTGAAGCCACATATAGCACGAAATAGTTTTAACGTGCAACAACTGCACAACATTTTTGACATTTGTTTTATGAAATCCAAAACGCCTCTTATATTCTACCCAACTCCACATTATCACGTCGACTACTAAAGAGGCTGGAAAGATCAGAAAACTAACGATCCAGCCAAAATTCCTGCAGCGTCCTAGTGTTGCGTTTAGGTAAACAACCATCTTAACGATTACTGGTGGACATGGGTGCGGAGGCAATGGCCACGTGCAATACCGTCCGTCTCTCAGACTGCTGATGAGCCAAATTTCTGCTTAATAATTACGACCGGTCATCCCAGTTGCTTTGCTGCAAGAATTATTAGGATATCAAAATATAATTGCGAAAGCAGTAACTGCCCCATGTAACGAAGCCGGCGATATCTCACGTCTCTAGCTGCGAAAAACGACACCTAAATACTCATTGGTTGAGCGAAACGAAACCTAAGCACCCATCGGCTGACCGAAATGGTACATAAAGTCCCATTAACTGCAAAACGGACGCGCCTCAGAAAAAAAAAAAAAAAAAAAAAAACACAAAGAAGAGCACAGCAAAGCAGATGCGTCGTCACGGAAGCCGTGGAGACGGCGGGGGTGCCGCGCCTGCGCAGTGAGGAGCGTGACGTCACTGCCGGAGCGCCGTGTGAAAAAGGAAGACGTGGCGCGCTGCGTGTAAGAATGCTTTCGTATTCCTACACGCCAGGAGTGTCAAGTGTCTTCGTTTAATTTCATTACATAATAATATGAGTAGTAAAGGGAATTGCATATTTATCAAGAATAGAAGCAGAAATAAAAGGAAGGGCATTAGCAGTGGTAGCAACACTAGCCACAGTTGTAACTACGCACTAATATTAATATCTAAAATAACTTGGAACAATAAGGAAAAAACTATACAAGGACAGAATACATCAAACAAATATTTTTTAGGAATGTGCTGTTCGTGTTATCTTAAGGTTTTCATTCTTTCTCAAGACCTTACGCTAAACCAACGCGCTGACCTCCAAATGAACGACATTATGTTGGGACGTTTTTCTTTTTACACAAACATACTGGCCCTTGTGCTATCCTAGTATACCTAGGGTGACCACTCGTCCCGCGACTCGCGGGACAGTCCCGCATTGAGGGCTCGTGTCCCGCGTCCCGCGAGAAATTCCAAAATCTTCTAAATGTCCCGCATTCAAGTGGTAAAATTCACTCCGCAACTCGCGTTAATGTGTGTATATTTATTTTACCTTGTTTGTGTATTATTGCATGAAACTTAACCTTGCAAGCCCCCCCCCCCCCCCCCCCCTTATGTAATTCTCTCGCGAGGACCTTTAAGGGTATATGAATAAAGAGTGCTGCCGAGCAACGGGGCACGGGCGATCGCGGAGGTCGCTGGTAATCGTGTGAACCGCGATGGTACGCCATTTTCTATCGAAGCATTGCGGGAAGCGACCGTCGTTCTTGCAGGAGATCCGACGCGCATGCTCTGTTGTGCCTCTCCCCTTGGTGGCAAATTATTGTAAAACAAAAATTGCTCGCCAAAATAAATATAAAATGTTGTAATTATTTTCAAATCGTATCAATGCGAAAGGGTTGCTGTGAATTTTGTGTTTAATGAAGACGGCCACACAAGGCTAAAGGCCTGCAACTCACAACGGTCGAAAAAGAACATAATGTTAAAACAATTTGTGTAGGACCATGTTGATAAAAGTAAGCGTTGCCAGGAAACAATAACCCGGAAAATATGTACTGTTCCTTATTTCCATTTGATGGATTGAGTTCTGCCACAGCCGATTTTTAGGTTTTCAACTTCGACACATTTAATAACCCCATGTTTGGAATAAAGCAATATATCACTGGGAGTGAAAATTGTTTGTACTGAATTGCTGCAATACAATTAGCAGGTGTATAAACAGCACAGGTTATTCAATGTGTGAACAGGACTTCGGTTCATGGCGGGCGTTTTAATAAATTTCCTCCACCCCCTGCCCCATCTGTCCCGCATTTCGCTAGCAGGAAGGTGGTCACCCTAAGTATACCTGCTTGCAACGCCACTGACCAAGAAGCGTCTTTGCCGCTGTGTAAAGTCCATGATACGTGTGAACTTCTTCCAACTTCCCCTTCGCCAAACATAATAACGGAGTAGCGGGTATCGTAACGTTGTCGTAGTCGCGGGACTATTTGTAATGAATATATTCCAATGCAGCTCCTATAGATTGCACACGGGTACTGCGGGAGCAAACGGCTTGGCCTCGTGACAATCAATGCGTGAAGAAGTATTCGGGTCGTGAATAGAGCCAAGTCGCTGCAGCCACGGGAACAGCCGAACCCTAACCCTGTCTGCAGCTTAGCACGTGCGATGTGGTTGCCAACCCCAGTGCACGACTGCGATGGACGTTGGGCGGCATATAACCGGCTCGAGATCATCTGGCTGCCCATTCTGCCTTTAACTTGAGAATGTTAACGCCACTCTTTACTCTGATTGTGTTGAAGCTGCCATTACGAGATATAACTAGGGTTCCGCGTTTTAGGATGAGTAAAAAAAATCCGAAAAACATTCGCCGGTAAATGTCCCGACAATTCGGATTTATTCCAAAAACTCCGAATTTCAAGGTCACAGTGACAAAAGAAACAATTAAAAAGACGGAATTTTACCGCTAAACTTTATAAGACCACGAGGTCTGCGGTCTGAGGAAATTTCACATCAGCTTCCTTCGAAATTTGGAACTACTAACAAAAAGGGGATAGCTTTTTAGCATGTCCAGGTTCATTGGCGACAACGGGTCATGGTAGCCGGTCATTATTTATTTTGTTTTTGAATTTTTAAGCTCTACGAGTAAAATAAACCTATCATTAAAAAAAAAACTGGGAATATAACGAGAGTAAACTTCGATAAACTCCGAATCCTTTCCGAAAAATAAAGTTTGAAAAACACCCTCTATAGTTTCAGGAGAACTAAACTCCGAAAACACGGAATCCTAGGCATAATGTAACCCATGTATCGTAGGTTGCGACCGCCATAGAATAATGCAGCGCGATATTTAGTGAAAGCCCAGGAATAGTGGCACGGCACTCGTGATAAAATATTCAAGGGACTAAAAGTTTACCTCTTCGTTCGGGTAACTAAACGAAATATCCTCCCAAGCACCCAAATTTCATTTCAAAAAAGTACATTTTAGTGCCTGTTTTGGGGTGAATCTTTCATCACGTATTTTATTATAAAAAAAATACAGTGCAATTGAAAAAAAAAAACTAAAAACGACGATGTGTTTGAGCACTGGTGTGTGCATTTTTATTGTTATAAAACCAGTGTTGCATTTTCTTTCTTTACAGAGGTGCGATGAAAATGCGATGGAAAAACTCAGAAGATGGAGCGACGACATGAAGAGTAAAAAAAAGGTGATTGGGCAAGATTGGTGCAGTGGTTGTTATACGGACCTGATTTAAATAAAATGTGCCATGTGCCCTTCACCTGAATCTATCATTTATAAAAATGTATATCTCCTTTTTAGTTCTTCAAGCTGTGATGTTCAGTAACTTCAAGCTGGACTGTATTGCGATAGAAGGGTTCCCTGTTATATCCTTGAAATATTTTTACTAGGGCATATATTTAAATCTGTATGAAGATCAAATATGTGAACGGCATCTGTTACTCAGGAATAAAATGGATTTAAAAGTTTCCATGATATTTTAATATCTTCCTGAGCTTAGACGTTGCCTTACATATGGTTTCAAAAATAAGCGTTCCTGGTTTAAGAAAAGAAGTGAAGACAATTGTTATTTCAACTTACACAGTGTCTACTTTAGAAATTTGGCACATGGCCTCGGCGCACCAAAAACAAGAAAAAAAAAAAGATCAAAAAGTAATATAAAAATTTGGCTCGACGTCCTAGCTTTAAAATTATTCGTTGCCCTCAATATTTATAAATTTATGTTTGACCACACAACAGTGTCTGAGATAAGGTGATAAGAAATACGCGCTGAAATAAATTTCTGGCATGTATGGAGGGGAAGGCGTTCGAGTTTTCCGAAACCAATCTTTTTTTGATGAATTCAATTTCCAGCAAACTCAGCGTTCATAATTAGACTGCGATGTGCACGGCATTATGTGGCTTTTAATGTGCACGTGCCGTGCACGTTTAAAGCAAGAATGTCTGAGATAAGGTGTTACGAAACACGCACTGTATTGCATTTCTGGCATGTATGGAGGGGAACGGCGTTCGATTTTCCCTAAAACAGTTTTTCTCTGGGCAATTTCATTCCTAGGGTATTCACCTTTCATAATTAGACTGTGATGTGCACTGGATTATGTGGCTTAGAATGTGCACATGCCGTGCACGTTTTACACAACAATTTCTGAGATAAGGTGTTACGAAACACGCGCTGTATTGTATTTCTTGCATGTCTGGAGGGGAGAGGCGTTCGATTTTTTCGAAAACAGTTGTTCTCTGAGCAATTTGATTCCTAATTCACCTTTCATAATTAGACTGCGATGTGCGCGGCGATATGCGGCTTGGAACGTGCACATGCCGTGTGCGTTTTACGCAACAGTTCAAGAAGATTTTATGCGAAAGAAAGCTGGGTAAAAACATCAAGCTTAATGCGCTTCTTATGCAGAAGACCAGCGATATCTGCCGCCCTGGACAAGCAAGAGGCCATAATTGCTTTCCTAGAAGGAATGATGAAAGAAGCACCGACCGAGCAGTTTGCTAAGATTGGTGGTATCCTACGCGCCATGTAATTGGGAAACACGCGCCCTCTGTTGGAAATCGCGTTGAGGGTGTTCTCAGTGCTTGAGGACTCAAACACATACCTGCAAGGACGTTCGTCGACAGTTCAGAGAATGCTCCAGGTGCTGGAGTCTGCCAAGCGCCAGTTGCGCCATCTTCGGGCTGAAGAAATGTTCGATGGCCTGCTTGAACAGGTTGCCAAAGCTGCTGAGAATGGCAGTGTACATGCAGATGAACCCTCAAGATCCAGACGGCGCCCCGCCAGCTACGAGAAAGGGAGCACCAGTGATCTTCCAGTTGAATTGAAAACCTATTTTTGGCGTGTAATTTTTCCATAGTTGATGCAGCACTGTCGGGCATTGAGAGACGCTTCAATCCCGACTCGGAAGGAATTCGGAACATGCATGAGTAGACACGCCAGTACTTCAAGGATGTAGAGAGTGTTCTCAGGGTAATCCTGGTAATGCCAGTCTCCTCCAGTGAGGTGGAACGATCGTTCAGTGCCATGGGAAGGTAAAAAACATGGCTGCGGAGTACCATGGGTGAAACAGGCCTAAGCTGCATGGCGCTGGCACATCTTCATCGAAACGTTGTAGACCACACGAAGTTGTCGCAGCTGATGGGCAGTTTTGTCAGCGCATGCAAGAACCGCGCTCTCGTTCTTGGACCCCCTCTAAGGTTATAAACTAGGAAACTGAGGGACCTATTACGAATCCGTAATTCAGAGTATACAGGGTTGCCATTACACGTGTTAATCGCAAGCAATAATAGACAGTTTTAGTACAGCGTTGCAGGACCTTACGTACGAAATACGCCATAGTGTGGCGTACGCTAAAAATGACCTGCTCGGACCGAATTTAGTTGTGCGTTACGTTTCTGAGTGAACACCGCGCATGATCTTGGTTAAATTTCCTAGATCCGTAGAATTGCGCGTGCTTATAGCGCAACCATGCTCCTGGAAAGAAATATTGGAAATGAATACGCGTCCAATCATTTTATTTCAAATTAAACCAAGCCACAGCTGCCTCGTCAAGCGCGCTTTTCTGCGGGGTACAGAGGCTACGAGTACGAGTGCGTAGCCAAATTCGATCATGGAGCCTCCGTCACTCGTCCCGTGGAAATGGCACCTTTTATCAATGCTATCGCGGAATGAAATTCATGACCCTGATGTCCAGTGCATAGCGAGAACTTCGGCGATTTCTTTTAGAGTTGTTCGTACGTCGGTGATGAACTGTGGGAATAGGCTTAAGTGCAGTTTATACTCCGACGTTGAGCGCAGTCAACGCAGCTTAGCGCAGAACGCGCGCCTTTCATTGGCCGGCAACAGGAACTTGATATCTGCGACCAATCAGTGTGTGTGCGCGCTGCGCTACGCCGCGCCCGTCGACGTTACGTTAGAGTATAAACCTACCTTTAGTGTTGAGCAGATCGCAGCGTGGACGCACAATCCGAGCGGCGAACATTTTCAGTGTGTACTCCTTCAGCTGCACGGCGATCTGATTCGACCGCTGGAGGTCCCAGAAAGAATCGCCGAGCCGAACACCGCGCAATTTCACTCCACACAGAACTTCGAAAACACCACGTCGCCCTTGCTGCGCCAGTCGAGGCAACTGCCATCTTGAAACTGGCGCTCTCGTTGGGTCCGAGATCGCTGGAGAGCGTCCCGCAAGGCCCGCTAGCCAGCAACGCAAAATCCCCATCGTTGCGTGCGTACGCAATACGTTAGCCCTTTTATTGCGTTCTGGGCTTGCGCACTTACGACCCTCAAATTCCTTGCGTACGCAAAGCTATAGCGTACGGTCCACTAAAACTGTCTTAAAACAAGAACATATCTGTTCACGCACTGCTGTTTTGTGATGATTGTGTTGTTTTGTTTTGCATACAGTTTTAATTTAGAGTGAAATCGTGCCACTCCTCTTGCGTTTAATTTCTTGCTGCCAAAAGACTGTATGGCCCTGCCATGCACTTCTGCCTGTGGCCATGCCACCTGAGACATTTCTGACAGTTCTGTCTCAAATAAAGGTATAAACAAGCAACATTTGACAGACAAGTTTCTCTGCTTTGTAACACGGTTTTTGGACGTTTGCCTTGTTTCTGGTGTGTAGACGTCAACGTTTTTTTTTCTTAACATAATTTGAGCTCCTAACGTTTTTCGAGCTAATTAATTCCCGTTGCGCACTGTGAATCGTTAACAATATTATATTAATGCTAGACGTGAACATCTGTGCATGTTTTTTGTTTGTTTTATTGTACAGTTTTGATTTGTGTGTAAAATAAAATTCATATTTTAAATAATCAAGATGGCTGCCATGGCAAAGTTCGTGACCCCCCCTGATATTTTCCTAGATTTACGCCACTGCTCAGCTGACCACCCGTTATGGCGAGCAACTCGTTCATAGTGTTGTAGCCAATGCTCGATGTCCTCGCGTATCTTCCCGTGGAAAGACGTCGGAGTCCGGGATGCGACGTGCAGGTATAGGACGGCGGCGGCGGCCGGGGTCTCCAACGACTGGTTGTCCATCTTTGGTCTCGTTGGCTGCTTGGTCTTGGATGGCAAAAGTCTGAATTCCGGGGTAGGACTTGGGAGACGGCTTCCTCGGGTCCTGGTAGTCCTTGCGGATGATCCCCTTGAACCGGGGATTGGGCTTGCGCTGCGAAGAGTAGGAGGGGTACGCTTCATGGGATGCGGTGCCCCGCACCTCCACCAAAATGTCACCAATTATCTATGATAAGGTGACGAACGAATAGAAACCAAACGTTTAATCTCGCGCACTTTCCCGACAACAAAAATGCAAAGAGGTTGCGACGCAGGCGTCGAAGCTCGGCGGAGTAGCACGTGCGATCGAGCGCGAGAGCGAGACTAATCCTGGATCACCACGCGGTGCATCTTTTGTACACGGGTGGGTTTCTGGAACATTTGGCATAGAGCGTTCGTTGCCTACAGAATTCGTACCTCGATCAGAAGACAAGGTTCGGGAACTTACGAGATCGCTAAATTGAAAGAATAAATGAAAGAAGCGTTCATTTTCAAGAATCAAACCTAGGGCCTCCGAGCGAAAGTTGGTAGAGCGAAAGTTGGTAGAGCGCTCCACTTGTAATGGAGAGGTCCTGGGTTCGATACCCGGACCAGGCGGATTTTTTTGGTAGCGCACCAGTCACCTAGCTGTGTTTGGAGATTTATGTTTGTCCTTTGTCCCTCTTGTTCCCCTTCTCCAGGGATTCATTTCGTCAGGGTAACCATTCGGCCACGCGCGCGCTCACTGGGAGACGTGTTTGGTATAGCATGTCCAAGGCAGTGAATGGGGAGGGAGGTACGGAAGAGGACGTACTAAGCCTAAATTGAGAGCGGGAAGTGTTGTACTACACTCCGCCGAGCTTTTGAGCTACTTAATCCAAAGGTATCATCTGAATGCGGATCGCTTCCTGATTCCCAAATGCTACCCGGCCCGTTCCTCTAGATTCACTCTACAGTCAACTAAAAAAAAAAAAAAAGGAAGAAAGCTGACATTTTGTTTGCTGCCAACGCCAATACATCCTTCTTACGAGTTTTTCCCCAGTTATTCCCGCCATCTCAAACGTGACGTCACCAGAGGTCTCCGAAGCGTGCGGACGGCGATCGGGTTCTCTCATGCCCGCTTTTCTCGCATCAAACAGCGAGAAAGCAGGGGTGTTCGTGCCATCCGAAGTTGATAATAATCTGTAGTTGGGCAAAGTATGACCTTGGCCTACGTGCTAAATTACGAAAAGTACCCCCCCCCCCCCCCCTCGCACAAAAAAAAAAAAAAAGAACGGAAAGA